TGGGTTGTAGCTAATAAACCTTGCTGGATAATTTCTGTATAGTCTCCTGGATTTCCTTGGGCTAGGCCTGACAGTTGAGAAATACTGATATAGTCTATTATAACATCTGCACTATTTTCACATTTAGATTGACTTATGAAAATATTTACATACTATAACTGAAATAGAAATTTTTGAACTTGACTTGCACAGATGACTGTCTTATTTAAAGTAACATCCCCAGGTACTTATGGGTAGTTTGCAATTCGAAGCCTGCTTCGACTGGCTCTGGTGACTTCTCCACATTTCTTGCTTTTCCACCATTTCACAATATTTTTAGGTTGTAAGATACAGTGGTGCTTGATACTTCAATATTACATTTTTCTTTCTGAATATAATCTGTATGTTCTGCAGAACTTTGCAATACTGTATGAGTACATATATGTCAAATGTGTCCTTAATGCCACAAGGAGTAAACTTGCTTTCAGAGCTTGATCATCCATGAAGGGTGTCATTTATGTGGGCGTGGAATTGTTTGGGGTCACAGAACAGAAAGGCTCCCACAAATACAGATATGGAATGCTGCTGATGTAAGATCTAGGGGGACATCTTTTCATTTCCAAAGTTTTGATACAAAGAACATCAGGAGTGACAATGTCTAGTATTGGAACAGTACCTCACCATTGTATTTAGTGAACAGTATTAACATTTTGCTCTGATACTATATATCCCCCCAGTGAAATGTCAGTAAGAAATAACCAAGTCTGGGGGAAATGTAACAATTTCCCTTAATTGTACAGGAACTGTGCCGGGAGCTTCATGAGAAAGTAGACATTGTGGATGAAGAGAGATATGACTTCGAAGCAAAGTGTAATCATAACACACGTGAGGTAAGAAGAAGGGAGAATGATTCTTATTTAAATTCTCAGATCAAAACAATACACTAATACAACAAAAAAAAAAGCCCAGGAAAATATCATTGTCCATAAGAAAATATCTAACACACGTTAGGTAATAGCTTTATGAGGCAGTCTTAACTATTTTATCCATTATTTTGTTCTAAAGTGGATTCAGGATCTGTGTTTCTGACTGCTGACATGAGATAACCAGAATGGAGCATTTCATTGTCTTGAACTGTAAATAGGAACATTGAACATCTCCAGGATCTTTCATAAGAGTTCTGGAATATTATTTTAAAATATGGGTTGGAAGCTAATGGTCTATAACCTTATATGTTTTCTTGCTTTAGTAGAGATGCTGCTTTTCCTTTTATTAGTGGAATGAATAAAATGTGTGCAAGCTGAATGCAAGGAAATTGAGGTTGTAAGCCAAGGTTCCTGGGGCAGTTTTTAGAGGCTACTGAATATGTCAGACTTCTTTCTCCAAACTCTGTGTATAGGGCCCATCCTTGGAAAGGGAAATCTGACTTTAAACCCTTCTTTCTGCCACCTTCACCAGAAAGCCTTCCTTTACAGGAGGGCTGGAAAGGGGGCATGCTGGTCATTAGGAGGGCATGGGGCAGATATCTCTGTGGATCTCTGTGTCTCCAGCCTTGGACAATTGGTCAACCCTTGTTGATGTAAGTAAATTCCCTTCCATTTTTTGCAGTGTCAGGGAATAGGGTTGAAAATGTCAATGGGAAAGGATAGAAAGAGGCAATTGTTTTTCTGCCTGCATGTCTACCTTGCTAGTTTGCCACTGGAAGGGCATCAATGATTGCAGGCCTCTGAAGCCAGAGCACTTTGCAAATGAAAAATTGAATTGCTCTGCCTGTATCTATTTTCTGGTTTGAGCATGGCAAAAGATCTAGAGTTAAAATTACTGTTAGTAAGGAAAATGTATTTGAATGCAGAGTACCAGTCAGCACAAGGACACCTCCAAAGCATTCCTTCCTATAATTGAGCAAGTGGGCTGGACTCACACTACCTTTTTCCTATGAAAAAGCAAGACTATCTTCTTGTCCTTAGATCTCTTAGGGTATATGACTTCATTGGTTTCTAGTCTATATTGCCTATTCTGCAGATTAAAGACTTGAAATTGAAGGTGCTTGACCTTCGGGGAAAATTCAAGCGTCCTCCCTTGCGCCGTGTCCGTGTGTCTGCAGATGCCATGCTTAGAGCTCTGCTTGGCTCAAAGCACAAAGTATCTATGGACCTGAGAGCCAATCTCAAGTCTGTCAAGAAGGAGGACACAGAAAAGGTCAGTGACTGGAAATCTCACATATACCACATTTGCTCAGGGTCACATGTGTTTTTATTTTTTGAAGTCATTGTGAAGAAAAATGTTCTTACATTTCCTCCTGAGTAATATTCTTTCATAGATATTCCATACCTTTAACAATTGGTAAATGAACATTCATAAATTGGGGATCATAGATTGTATTACAGAATAGGAACTAAAATTAAGACAGCTTCTCCCATGAAGGATGAGAATTGTGAAAACTGTAATCACAACATATCTGGAGAATGACAGACTGGGAAGATCAATGTAAGACAGGGATTATATCACTTGTAGTTTAATGCATCATCCAGTATCAATAAAAAGAATTACTTTAATAAATTGGGTTGTGGGGACTGTGGACTCCATTCATAGTGTCCTGCTAATCAAACAGTCTGTCTGCATGGGTTGGGTACCAATGTCTCAGGCCAGGATTGCTCTGATCAATGTCCGATCAATGAGTGATATGGCCTGCGTATTCTGCAAGCCAATGGCATAAGGCTGACCACATCTTCCCTCATACCCAAGGTGTAGTTTGGTCACATCATGTGTCAGATCACTTGGCCTAGCTGCTGCAAAAAAATGTGGGGACTTGCTTTCTGGAACAGCAAGGATTGGCATTCGACTTTAAATGCTGGTATGGGAACAAAACAAGACTAGTACCATGTAATTAAGGGAACACCAAGGCAAACTGAAGACCTGGTTTTGTTACTATGCATGGGACGGGGATGGGAATGGTCAGTTTTGGGGATGGCTGGTCCCCTAGTCCTACCTGACC